CTGCAGTATCAAATGAGACCAGATTTAAATAGACAATCTAACTGTCATTGTGGCAACTGTGTATCTATGTATGTATGACTGATTGTTTGTATGTATGTATGTATGTTTATATACATGTGCGTGTGTCTGTGTGTGTGTTTGTGTGTGTTACTAAATAGGTTGGCAAGTTTTGTATGTGTGCAAGTGGCTGCATATGTGCATGTAGCTAATTTAATGTGTGTGTTTATGTAAATGATGGAGGATCCCTCACAATCTTTACATGCTTACAGTTGGACTGGGCATGGAAACAATCAAGTCTCTCTTAAAATACCTATTGCTATTTCACTAAGGTAATTCTGATTAGCCTGCCAATTAGCCTGCCAAATAATGTGACACAATTCGTGAACAAAAATAATAGAGATTTATTTGTGTATGATTAATATTTTCTAGGTTATTCTAGGGTAGGTGAACAAACTAAAGTATGATACCTAATAATCAATAAAAATACATTTTACAAAGACTTCTACTTCAAAGATTTCAAATTGCTTCTACTCACTTTTTCTGTCTGAAAAAATGTAGATAGGTGTGCCTACAAATATCTTAATTTGAGAAACTTGTTTGCAATTTGTGATTTTGTTTTAGTTTACATCCTGGAAGCAGTGATGGGTGTAAATAAATCAGTATTAATTATATGTAGAATTAATATATATATATATATATATATATATATATATATATAAAATTAAAAAATATAAAATATAATAATATATGTTATGATATGTAATATGATATTGTAAATTTAGAAAAAAAAATCATTACCTTTGGGGTCTATTTCAGTATTCTGCATGTAGTATGATTCTAAGTTCAGTGATGAATGTCAGCCTCTGAAAAAAAAGAGTGAAAAAAACAGATAGTGTAGTAATATAGACAACATATTTTCACATGTTTTACAGTGTTTTAAACATTACAGTGGCGTAGCAGGATTAATGTTATAGCTCACAGGCAAACTAAAACAGAGACGATAACAAATGAGCTGATCTACAGGAAACAATTACCCTTGCCTGCCTCTTTTGTGGATATATAAATGGACATCCAATCTAAAAGAAAACGTTATGTGGTCTTGATGGTAAACCTAAAGCAATAGATAAATATTAGGAAGCCCTCACCAAGTTGTGTCAACCTGAATCAATTATAGAAACAGTTGTTTATTATTGCAATGACTAGACTGTTATTTATCCAAGGGCATATTCTAAGAAAGGGCAATAAAGTGGGGCATGGTAATACAAATAAAATGTACTAAAGAGGTTTCAACTCCTTGGTCTAGAGTCAGAGAAGAACCACAAAGCAATTCACTAAAATGTGACTGAAGAAAAATGTCAAGGGAAATGTATATTTTAGGCTAAAATACCTGGATTGGAAAGATAACTGTGCAAAATATATTTATCTGAATTTAACAATTCTTGCCTAAAATTAGCAATTCTATTCACAACTCTCCACCTTTCCTGAGTTTAAAATATATATAATGACATACATTAAGATAAAGTTGAAAATAACATATTAAAAATAGACTTACTAAAATTAGATTTAATGATTTAAAGGGACATTATTAGCACCAAAGCAACCTTAGCTTAGTGAAGAGTTGTTGCTGTATAGCTCATGTTCCTGAAGTCTCCCTGCTGAATTATCTGCCATTTAGAAGTTAAGTAAATTTGTTTATGCAGCCCTAGCCACACCTCACCTGGCTGTGATTGACATAGGCTACCTGCACACTTCCTGAAAAAGAAATCTAACTTTTAAACTTCCCTCACAAATTCAACTTTTTATAGATTCTGAAAAAATAGTGAGGCACACAAATATCAATTTTATAAAACCTATGTATATATCAAATGCTTAAATATTTTTTTCCAATAGGAATTTGTGCTATGTTTGCTAGTATAAGTGTAAACACAGCAGAATCTAAGAATAAATTTTTTGGGGTATAGTATCACATACAATAAATGGAGTAGCCTGGTTAATCCAGTCATTAGTAGTTCAAAGAACTGTTTGCCTGATATGTACCCAAAACACTCTTAAGCACCATACTGTACCTTATGTAAGATCTATAGAGGAGGGGGTTAAAATACTGGTTAAAAAACAATAGTTTCTCAACTGGGTGAGCTTTTTATTATATTTTAATTATATTTTATAATTTACACACATGTATAATACAATGTAATGTAAATTATTATGTACTGGAGAAGAAATAAAGGCATTCTAGATTAATCAGGATATACATAAAACTGACATTCATAAAAGACAAAGTAATTAGACCAACTCGTTTATATTTGCCACCACAATATCTGTTTTATTTTTTTAGTCTGAAAATAATCTATTTATTTTACCAAAATTAAACCAATTTTGTTTTCTGAAATTCTCTTTATTGTGATCCACAATCAAAATGAAAATATGTTGAAAACAAGTGGGATTTTGTTTTTGTAGCTGTTAAATTTTACAAGCTTTGAAGTTGGTGTTGTGTAAGTGAGTGCTCTGGATCTTGTGTGTTGTATTAAATTACCCCAGTAGCACCCTTACTACGTATGCATGTTTAGGTGAGTGCAGTGTATATGGTTTGCTCCATATGGTTTTAAAAAAAATCTACATTATTTTTGTTTAAAAAAATATATTTTGTGAGCTTTGAATTGGATATCAGTAAACAGAGAATAAAAAAGTTCAATATTATTATAAAACCATGCAGTAGTCTTTGTGATATTGTTAATATTGATTTTAAAGTAATGTGGTAAAACACCACAACCACGATAATTCTGGTACCTCCCCAATGTAAGTCTGTTGAATATTCAATTTTTTTGTGGACATTTTTCTAACATGCAAATGACACGGAGGCATGGTTGATCTGGAATGACATAAACAGATTACAATAAGTTCTGTAAATTCTTTATTGTTTCCATGGAACATGTGATGACTTCATAGGGTTATTAGACTTGCCAAAAAGAATATTGTATGAGTAGCATTGACTTTGTAATGCTTACACACCCACTTTGGTAGTGTAGCTACAGAAGGCATTACACATGTAAGACATTGAGACAATGAGACACTGAGACACAGAACAAGGGTAGAGTGTTTCCGCACTCTGAATATCCAGCATATACCATCAACTGTTGGTCATTTTAACATCAATGAAACTGCAAGAATTGACTTTGTCTTTGAAAAGCAAAAATAATAAATCAGTTTTTATATGAAAAGCCAGGAAAGTCTGATTGCGTTATATTTTTATGTGAAACAGAAAAACTAATAAATTACTTCAACACCCTCATAAGCACACTGTCTTGCCAACCCAAATGCCTATTTCACACTTTTAATACTCTCCTTTGCCCTGTTGCTCCCCCTCCCTCTCCTCTTTCCACCTTGTCCACCTCAAACTTTGCAACTCACTTCACTGAGAAGATTTCTACAATCAGGGAAGAGATCTCTAACCTCTCTCTCTCCCCTTCCAATACATCTTCCAATACATCACCCAACCCCACTCACTCCACTGTTCTATGCTTATTTGAACCTACTACAACGAAAGAGGTTTCTGCTCTGCCCCACCACCTGTTCTCTTGATCCTATACCCTCATATCTCCTCCTCACTCTGTCTCCCTCTCTTGCTCTTCCTTTCACTACGATTTTCAATCTCTCCCTTTCCTCTGACACATTTCCTTCACCCTTTAAGCATGCAACTATAATGCCAATTCTAAAAAAGCCCAACCTTGACCACAACTCCCCATCCCCATCCCCACAACTCCCCATCCATCCCATAAAATGGTCTAAAGAGGTTTCAACTCCATGGACTAGAGTCATAGAAGAAACCCCATCCATCCCCTAAATCGCTACTGCCGCTTGCCTTCAAGATCCTTGAGAGAGTTGTGTATGTGAGATTGACAGACTTCCTCAAATCCAAATCTCTGCTTGACCCGCTTCAGTATGGATTCCGTGCTTATCACTCTGTTGAAACAGCTGTGACCAAAGTATCCAATGATCATATCACTGCAAAATCCCATGGCCACTACTCTATCCTAATTCTCTTTGATCTTTTTGCTGCCTTTGACACTGTTGATTATCAACAGCTTTACAATTGCATTACAATTTTTTTCACACCATTAAGTGACAACATGTTGGCATTTGGCATCAGGACCTTTGGAAGATAGTTGATTTTACTGCTGCACAATATCTGCACCATAACATTTGGTCCTTTTATGCCACTTTTCTATAACACTGGGTAACTCCATTCCAATATATATCACCTGTACTGGCATTTCAGCCTTTAGGAATTTTACTATTTTTGATTTATCTGGGCTAGCTAGATTCAGAATTTCCAGTTACATGGGTCTTATCTTACCAATGACAAGATATTTTAAATGTGTTGTATTTTTTAATTCCATTTCTTCTTTTTTTCATGGTGTATGGTTATGGTTTTCTCTTTTGCATTGATACTCTAGAGTACTCCGTCGCTGTATTTCCACATGCCTTTGTTAGACAGTATTTTATTTATTAATTCCAATAAAGGTTATATTTTAACTATCACAGGTGTTTCACAATATGTATCATTTCTACATGTGCAAAGAGTTTGGCATCCACTGGACACTGATCTAGCTTCTCCTCTTCTGTTATGCAGTGCTAGAAGCTTCCAGCCTGAAGTGTCTGTTAGCACTGCTCAGCTAAACCCTGTAGTGCAAGGGCCTGCTCATTGGCAACCTGAAATGTTAGTGGAATATAATCAAATAAGCAATCAATCAACAGTAAAAGAGAAAAAAGAAAATATGGCGTTCAAAAGTCTGCTCACATACGTAAAATTAAGAAACATAAAATTTGTGACTGCCAAAAGCTTCTCAATACCACCGGCACCTGGTTCAGTGAAAGTTATATCCCTGATATGAGAGTAACCATTATTGGTAGAGATTAGTGATGTCGCGAACTGTTCGCCAACTTCCCGCGAACGGCTTGCCGCGGTTCGTCACGAACCATTCGCGGCAAGCTCCGGTCAGCTGACACATCCCGGCCAATCTCCAGCAGACCCTCCCTCCCAGACCCTCCCACCTCCTGGACAGCATCCATGTTGAAGGCAGCTTCCACATGGATGCTGTCCAGGAGGTGGGAGGGTCTGGGAGGGAGGGTTTGCTGGAGATTGGCTGGGATGTGTCAGGTGACCGGAGCTCGCCACGAACCACGACGAGCCGTTCGCGGGAATTTCGCGAACGGTTCGCGACATCTCTAGTAGAGATTAATAAAACTCATAGAAAACTGTTACTTCAAAAAATTATTTTGCTTTATACCATTTGATATTCACCTCTGATAGCACAAATTTAATTGTATACATAGTTACTTATTAAGAGTAAAGCACTCCATGCCAGGAGTGTCAAACCAAGTAAAGTCTCAAAATTTAGTTAAGATAAAATTTGATACAATGCTTAGGATAACTAAGAACTTTTCTATCAGGACAGCTTTGGGTCCTTCTAAAAAGAATGTTTGTGATTTTACTATTAAGAATGCACAATTGAGCTTCTACAAAACTGTCCAAGTTCCACATCAGTGAGCTTTTTTATTCAACAAGGATTCAGCTCAATAGCTCAGCTCGTGAAAATGTAACCCGGCCATATTTCTTGGCAAGGCACCTATATGTTGAACACATAGGGAAGCATTTAACAGAAAGGACCCTGCATAGTTCCTCCTTCAGATACCCACCATGTTAGGGTAAGTTTCTTAGCCAACTCAGTTCTCTGTGAAAATAAAGAATAGTTTTCACTGATTCACACAGCTCACAGTTTGGAAGAATATTCTTTTAATCCTTAACTACAGAAGCCCTTTTAATGGTGTTGCTCCATATAATATAACAAGTCTACATGATACATACAATGTATTGTAATTGTTTTTCTAGGCAAAATATCCCCATAATTCAATTCCCCATGCATTATGTTATGATACATAGACTTTGATCTAAATGATCTTGTACAACTCGAGAATCTTTCTTTTGTAGAGCTTATTGTCAATCCCTGGATTAGTTAAAAGCTCTGAACACACAGAAGAAAAGACAATTTTACTAAAAAAGACCACACAATGCCACCCTGGATAATATAACCTACTAATAAATGATATGAGGGTATTTGCTATAGTTCAATAAGAAATCTCATTTCATTATTAAAGACAGATAATGTATTTTAGACCATCGAGGGTACTTTTAATATAGCCCATGCTGTGTAAGAAAACAAGGAGAATAGGACAAAATCAAGACAGAATATTAAATTGTTCCTTCCCAAACACAGAACTAATTCAATACCCTATTGAACTTCATTATGTATTCTGATAACAGCACAGGGATGTGAAGATAACTGTTAATCCTATGTATAGCATGCAACAATGTCAAGGTTTAATTAAACCGGCTCCACCTGGAGAGGTTTTTGCTCACACTGTGATGTCACAGCTCAGCTGGAGATGCTCATGTCATTAGCCAATACCTTTTAAAACCTAGTTGTGAAAATATCAACTGAGAAAGAAAATTTTTTTTTACTAGATTTATTGAGTTTTTTTCCATTAGAGGCAGCCAACCTTATTTAATTGAGCTATATGTTCCTAATCCCAGGGGAATACGATACACTCATTGGTTTGATTGTGCAGACAAATTTGGGTTCAAGGCAAGGGTTGGATACAAGGAACTACATCAGATAATAAGGTAGAACAAATTACACGGCTTTATGTCAGTCAAAGAATCCCAAAGAAATGGTACAGCACTGGGCCGGAGGTCAAATAGTTTCTCTGATCTATCAGCGGAGAAAGCCAAGGACTAGATCCGGTACTTACAATAGAAGACTGTTTAACACAAGCAAATGAAAAAGGTGAATTGTTATAATGAACGATAAGAAAAATAAGCGATCTAGTGAGTAGGTATGTGAAATATTATGGTTACTAGCCAAACTATATGTGGCAGGAGTATATATTTATATACAGGTTAAAAATCTATAAATATTGAGTTGACTGCTTAATTACATTTTAGGTCAATCAAGCTGAATTGAACTAAAAAAAGTTAACAAATTTCATCTTGCTTTACATAGCATTGGAGAGCCAGTATAATGATAAAGGGGTAGTTGCATAAAGTTTTTTGTTTTTTTTAATTTCTATAAAGTGGTGTTGTAAAGCATTAGGCTTTGGTTTTAATTTTTAAAATGTAGATAATGGTTAGATACCCCCTCCTTTTTAGATGTACACGTTTAGTATCAACTTGGATTTCTATTTATGTTAAGTGCTTGACCATCATGTGTACTCTGCTATATATACAGTGACGTTCATTTTGTCTGTAACACCTAGAGAAAGCCTATTAGGTGAAATGTGTTAGTGTGTCACTTTGCTTTAATGTTATTGTTTTTATACACTGTTTTTCAATACATTTACTGTGCTTTTATTACATTTGGACATTCCTGTCATTATCCTGACATTTGGACATCATTTTCATTCAGTGTGCAAAACCATTTTTTGCTCTGTGCCAGTGAGTACATTTTCTATTATTTTTATTACTTTTAATATAGATCACTATATTTTAGTTCTTGTTTTACTTTCTTATGCCATAGTGATGATTACTACCACATACATCTGAGAGTGGGAAAGACACATATCCAAGAGAGGGGATCATTGCACTCCACTAGGAGTGCAATAAATGTGATTTACTAGGAGGCTTCGATAAATGTGATAGTACACTGATATACAATACTTCTATCCAATATGCTTAAAATACTACACTATATTAGTGGTATTGTTTGTTTTCTTCCTATACCCTTTTGCTACCCCCAATCGGACCAAGATACCAAGTTCATATCCACAGGCGTGGATGTTACCACCCAGGTGTATCAATTGAAGCTAATTATCAGCTCCACACACTGTGCAATTCCCCTTCTTTTTCTTCAATCAATAATGAATTTAATACACTATATTCTATTTTTGTGTCATCTCTTCTCGTTTCATACTGACCTGGATCTGAGGATGTTGCTGCCCTACCTCTACGAACCAACTACTGCAAACCGGATAGAAGAGACTCTGGTTTGGGTTGTTTGAGCTACCTATCCTACCATAAGTACTAAAAAGCTACCAATCCCTACTATAGAAAAATAATATTTACTTATATATCATGTATTTAATCAATATATAATTTAAAATACATAATTTTTACTGTTATTCCTTTTTTCCTGTCTGTTGGTAACTTTTTTCACTTGATCTGAACTAAGTGATGGAAAATGTGTTTGTCCTAATCTTTTTTTGAATATTTTGCATAGACAATATTTGGACAAGCTGAACCACCACATGAAAGATTATCTTACTACATGATCAAAATGTGTTTATTTTTGGATTAAGTGATTTGGGTAAAATAAAATGTATCCCAAGTGCACAAGTCTAGAAGTTAGTGACCCAAACCTCCTGCTGAGGATGTTGCAATGATGGCTTACATCAGCATGGCAGAAGTTTGTGACCAGTATTTCACATGGTGCTCAGCATCCCAATGGCTTGTTGAGCATCATGGGGAAATTAGTTAAAAATAATATTTGGGGGAAAATAAATCTGATATTCCAATATTTGTCATCACTCGTGTATTAAAAATGTAACAGTATATCCTGTTATAAGGTTATAGAGCAATTGTTGACATTTAACAGAAATTAAATTGCTACTTAAGTGGGGAATTTAAACTTTAAATGCTATTTTTAATGCAATCTATGAGTGACCTATTCATTGCCAAATGTAAACTTTATCTCAGTATGGCATCGGGAGTACATAACGTATCATTAAGAGTAAGTAGCAAAACAAAGTGAGTTTATTTTCTTAAAGAAGGTCATATATCATTAATTAATTTTAATACATGGGGCCAGTTGATCATTACACTTTGAACTTAAGCAGTGGGGAGAGCATCAATCAGTAGAATGATATAAGACAGAAGTAATTAGGCTATGTCGGGATCCGCTGAAAACATGCAGGTTTCCATTGCCATATTTTAATAGTCCAGAGAAACTTCTTAAATGTAAACACTGGGGATTTCTTTTATCTAAGTGTCATCTTTTCTTATCTCCTTTTTCTTAAAATATAGTCAGAGGAATAACAGTCCAGGCTATGACAATTGACAATGGTTTTCTCCAAAAACATGGACCATCAATAACAAGACCACAAGCTGAACTTGTCCTTTGAGCATTGCTAGATCATTAAATCTACCTTGTAAACTATCACACTTGGTGTTTTTATTTTCCAAGTCGGGTTTTAATTCCAAATATATTCATGTTATTAGTCAGCGCTATATCTTTTAAAAAAAAGCAGGAAAAAAAAAAAGAAAGATGACACAGTATTTAATCTTGTGCAGTTTTTCAAATTTGGAAGTGACCTCTGGAAGGTGAAGGAATAACTATGGTTTCTGAGGTCACTTCCAAATTTTCACATTTTCTTATGCAACCATGAAAAATCAGCTTCCACCGCAAAGGTAGTTGTATATAAAGGAATCACTCCAGATGGATTTTCCTAGCAAGCTGAGGATATAGGAAGGCAACAAAGCCTCTTCAAAAGAGCTGTGTGCATCCAATAATTTACTGTTATCTCCATATGTATTCTATATATAAGGAATTGTCATGGACTGCAGAATAAGATATGGTGCCAACACAGAATATGAAGGCTAAGAGAGGTACTACACCCACAGACCCTATTTGACAAGCCAATACTTCAGCAGTTTTAGGGTGAGAAATAGGAACATGACAATCTTACCATGATTCTTATAAATGCTCCAATAGGTGTACTATGCCCCAGTATTATTTAAAGGGACACTATAGTCACCAGAACAACTACAGCTTAATGAATTTGTTCTAGTGAGTAGAATCATTACCTTCAGGCTTTTTGCTGTAAAAACGGTCTTCTCAGAGAAAATGCAGTGTTTACATTACAGCCTAGTGATAACTTCACTGGCCACTCCTCAGATAGCTGTTAGAAATCCTTCCTGGGTCATGGCTGCCTAAAATGCATCCAAACATTCTGTGTCTCCTCCCTCTGCATTCAGACACTGAACTTTCCTCATAGAGATTCATTGATTCAATTCATCTCTATGAGGAGATGCTGATTGGCCAGGGCTGTGTTTGAATCATGCTGGCTCTGCCCCTGATCTGCCTCCTTGTCAGTCTCAGCCAATCCTA